TCTCTTTCATCCAAGCCCTGAGATTATATTCAAGGCTATTTAGGAGAATGAGACCCATCAATGTTACTGGTATTTGGCATATTTGGTACGCCACGGGGAGTTTGCCAGACTCTGCCCTGTGGGCAGGCTACATTCGATAGCCTGCAAGTTTGTCCAAAGTAGGAATAAGACAATAAAATGTCATAAAAAAAAGTTCTGTTAATTAATATATATTAAGTAGGAAATAATATATATTATAATATATATAATATATATTATAATTATATTATTATAAAATAAATTAAAAAAACCCACTGTCCTCCCGTTGTTTATCGATTTGCTCAGTAACGTCTCCATTGTGAGACTTCTTGTTACTGTGTCTGGCATATTGAATACTCTCGGTAGCTTGCCAGGCTCTCTGAGAGGGGCGGAGGAATCGAACCTGGCTCAGCTGGGCTGGCTGCACACAAGGCAAATGCCCTACCGCTGTGCTATCACTCCAGCCCTGTATTATTATAATAATATATTATAACACACACATACACACTCATCCCCTTAGAAAACCTGGAAGACTTACTGTTTCAAGGCATATAAGAAAATAATGTTTGGTCATTAGATGAGCTTTAAACTATGTGACTGCATATGGCAGTAACTGTCACCGTCACTATCCTCCCATTGTTCATCGATTTGCTCAAGCGGGCCCAGTAACGTCTCCATTGTGAGATTTGTTGTTACTGTGTTTGGCATATTGAATGTGTCGGGTAGCTTGCCAGGCTTTGCGGCAAGGGTAGTATACTCTCGGTAGCTTGCCAGGCTCTCCGAGAGGGGCAGAGGAATCGAACCCGGCTCAGCCGGGCTGGCTGCGTGCAAGGCAAACGCCCTACCACTGTGCTATCACTTCATGCAAGTAATAGACTATAGAATTAGAAAGTTAACAAAAAATAATAAGAATTAAACACTAATGTCACCAAAACAAACAGAAGTAATGCTTCTTAGAGGAGATCTGATTTGTACAGTTGCCACATTGTACCACATATATCCACTTCCTCACAAAAATCATGGATCATGTGAAAAAAAAATCATGCTAGCCTGGTTTATATGCAGAACAAATCACAAGAGAAGTCTCAAAGAGAAGTTGACACAATCTAGTGGAATGACCAGAGAAAAGGAGTACAGAGAATTAAAAAAAGAAACAGACATGAAGTCTAGAATACTTTCAAGGACATCAATGTCTGCTCAATAATAAATACTGAAATGAGAGGAGAGGAACAAGGAGTCAGAATGTTTTAAAAATTAATGTCCAAAAATGATCTAATTTGATTTTAAAAAATCCAGTTTGTATAACAAAGGATCTCAACAGTCTGAAAAGATAAATTCAGAGAGATCTATATTTGGCCATGTTCTAGTTAAGCTCTTGAAGCATAAGAGTGTGTGAATCATAGAGAAAAGGTGAGCATAGAAAAGTTGCCCATTTACCTATAGCAAGACTCTCAGCCTAAAATTTACCATTAAACACTTCCACAAAGGGGTGAGCATAAGACATCATTAGATACACCAAACAAGATGGTTTTTCAGTAGCAGATCTGCTGTGCAAGAAAATAAGGAAAAAGCTATTGTAGACTGAAATGAAAATATACAAGGCCATGAATTGCCTGTGTGCTCTGACCCCAAATTGGCACACATGTAAGATAACCGGATGGGTAGAAAAGAAATAAATCCACATACTTACTTTAAAATGTAACCTTTTTCTTTTTCTTTATAATTTAATAGATGCTGGGAAAGTAGTGTTTTGATGGTTGTATGTAGCTGCGGATGAAAAATATTAGTCAAGAAGAAATACTTCAAATCAGTTGCCTGACTTTCTACTTAAACAAAAATAAGATAGAAAAACTAAGTGCAAAGAGAAATGAAAGAATTATTATGTTATCAGGCTAGACAATTTTGATAAAATAATACCAGATATTAGTGAGGATAAGAAAGTTTTATTACCAGTGAGTTTGTAGGCGATCAACTTGGGTTCAATCCTCAGCACCCCATGTGCTCCCCTGAGTCCCACCATTATTATATGATTAGTTTGCACCAAGAAAGCATAAATCATACAATCAGAAGAGGTGATATAAAGAAAATAGGTTGTTTTTTTCCCTTAGTTTCTTGGGAAACAAAAAGAAAGTGATGATGGTGTCATTTGTAATAAGCTAGATGATAGAAATTTGGTTTGGTAGATTTGAATAATTCAGATTTGCTCACGTATTCACACGTAATCAATAAATGCTAACTAGCTTCTCTGGTTTGGGGGTTCAAATCCAGCTGCATTCAAGAAATCCTCTCTGTATAAAATGTAGAATATCCGTGTGTGTCTTTTCTAGACATAAGCATTCAAATGGGCTTTTGTAGATTTTTATTTTTATAGTCACATGAACATGTGTATCTTTCTTGAAGCTTTAATTCAAGTATTGAAGGGGCAAGAAAGAAAGTATAAAGATTAAGGTGCTTCCCTAGCTTGCGGCGGTGACCACAAGTGACCTTGGTTCGAATCCCAGCACGGAATGTGGCTTGGGAGCAACTGCAGGCATGGCCCACGAGCAGAGACCCAGGAATGACCCCCGGTCACTGCCTGGTGTTGCCCGCCCTCCTCCCCCAGAGGCATTCAGTTTCTGTCAAATAGTTGGGTTCGTTGGAAAGATCTAGTCATAAAGAAATTAATGGATACCCTTGGGAACATTTTCACTTAAAGTCTCAAAGAATATAGTTTCAATATATAGACGTTAGCAAGGAGAATGCTAAACGCATGATGAATGAATTGTTTGGAGAAATATCAGGCGAACAGTAATTTTTAACGCCTATTTGTTATAAATACAGTTAGAAACATTCACATCAACTTACATGTAGACACTTAGAAGCATGTGATGAGATCATGAAAATTAAGTCTAATAAGAAAATATTATTTAACCCAAAGGTTACAAAACTTCTTTGGTCCACCACCCCCTTTTTCAGAAAAAGAAATCAGTCAGCACCCCCACCTTGGAAATTTATGTTCTGTAACAAAGAGAATGTGTCCCCCATTTGTCTCTGACTATTCCTCTGAACCCCACGAATAATCCCAGTGGCCCTGTTCCCAGTGGGATCACCCACTCTGGGAAATACTGACTTAACCAACAATTCCCTTGCAAGTGAAAAAAAAAAGAGTGACGATTCTTGAAGTATGTGTATTTGAATCTATCATGAAAAGGCATCATCTAACATTCTGTATATGTGTATAAAGAGAATATAGGTTAATACAATAATTGCCTGTTTTTCTCTATTAATTACAGGTTATTTCAAGACATGTACCAAAGAAAATATAACAATAAGACAGTTGGGCCTAAATCTCTAATCTTAAATTTCGGTTTAGATTCTCATTGGAAAGTTGCTTTGTAGCACTGAGGGGAGGCTTTTGATGTGTCACCCTTTCCATTGTTCCGAACTGTTTATAACTCAGCAAGAGTAAAGACATGAATAGTTTAACTGTTGAGATGTGAAATCAGAGTGAACACTTGTCACAATTTTTTTTCAGTAGAATTAAACGTTGCTAATTTAAAATGGGCCAGAGTATTATTTTTCTGTATTTTGTTCATTCCATCCTTTAAATGTAGATAATTTACTATAAAGTTTCACAACTGGCTCATTTCTGGATCCTTAAATCCCATTATCAAAGAATATTTTTTAGGGCTCTACATGTTCATAGACTTAAAATGGTTTCAATACAATAGCAGTTCAGGAAGCAGCATATACTCCTTTAAAAAAAATTTCTTCAGCCAAAGAAGCACTTTTATGTTTGTTTTGTATGGAACATAAATATAACATTTCTTCATTGCTTCCATCTGTTTGCTTCACTTCTCCATCCTACTTCTAATCCTAAAATATTATATGGGATTTTAAAGGGACACTCGAATTATCGGCAGATACATACAAATTAAAATTTTATGATATTCTTTAGATTAACTGCTTGAGATCTATGTCAGTGTAAGATGTGGAAATTGAACTTACACTTTATATTATTTAGATTTTAAAAACATAAGGGTACATTAAAGAAAGAAATTTAGCACTGAATATAAAGGGAGTTAGGATGAAAAAAAGAAAGCAAAAAAAAAGGGGGGGGGGGACAGAAAATATAAAACAGCTGGGGAGATTATTTGCTGGTGTGTTAACTCCTAGTCAGAAAAACACATTGCATTTGCGATTCCTCTGACCCACTTCTCAAGAGTTTATTATTCTAGTCAATATTTTTGTTGTTATTATTGTTAAATCTATTTTCTTCACAGGCTGTGTAATAGCTCTTTTGTTACTCATTAGTGGGGTCACCAGATGGCACACACAAAAGGAAATTTGGTGACACTTGCTGAGTTTTGTTCCTTTTGGGCTGTGGAATGTGGTAAAGAATATTGAAAGTATTATCTAAATATAGTATCTCGGCAGCACTTCTCACCTGTCTGTAAATATTCTACCCTCATTAACAGTTGAAAGTTCCAGATAAATTCAGTGACTAAACGTTAATTATGTATTTTTTAAATAAATTCCATGATAATAATTCTTTCTTCTTTGACTGTAAAGAAACCTGAGAATACTTCCCAAATTGATTATTATGTACTTAGATAGCGGTGATAATATCTACGCATATTTACAATCTATTCTTCTATCACCAAGACAGTTCACTTTAATAATTATATCTTATATATATGCTTTTTTTTAATGTGTTTGTTTCTAAATGCTTTCGAAAGGTTAACTCTCTTTAAACATTTTAGTTCTAAAATAAATTTGTCATTTTTCATATGTACTGTACAGCAAACCAAAGATGTCTGCCAAAATTTCAGAAAGAAACTAGGAAAAGTTGACTTTAGGGAAGCAAGACTATGGTTTCCATAATGGGAACTTCTTTGCAACTTTGTGTCTAAGCTTTCCACCACGCGTTCTTTGACATTTCATATGGCTGTTAGAGCAGAATTAAATATGTCAATATAGCTCACTGAATCATTTTCTTCTAGGTAAACAGGATTACAAGAAAACCAAACCTATTTTACGAGCAACCAAATTAAAAGCAGAAGCAAAGAAAACAGCAATTGGCATAAAGGTACCTGTAGTCACTAACTTTCATTTTGATGGCACGTGCCATTTCATTTTCTAAAACTGATTACATAAATGTTGAATTCTGAATGTTTGATGACATTTCAAAATCCAACTCAATGCCAGAATTGAAGGTTTTTAATTTTAAAAAGATTTTTTTATTAAAAAAAAAAGTAAGAATGCAAGCATCCTTAGTATCCAGAGATTTTTAGGAGGTGTTAAGACACAGTTTATGCAAACCAGTTATTTATTTTTTTGGTAATTTTTAAATTTTTTAAAATTTTATAAAGTAGTTCACAGTATTTGATCACATTTAATATTCAAACACCGGTCCCACCATCATTACACCTTCCCACCATCATATTTCGGGTGTTTCCATCCCCAGCCCCAATCCCTGTCCCAAAACAGAACTGAAATATTATAATATTTCTCTCTAAGGTTGATGGCCTCTCAGCATACCAGTTATGACAGAGGTTGTCCTTTTGTTTCCCTCTGACCACTATATATTGTTAAAACATGTCAGTGTTTTCTGTAGCCTGAATCAAAAACTGGTAATTTTCTGTACATTTTAGATGTGGAGAACTTCTCCACTTTTCATGCACAGCCCAGTGTGGGGCCAGATGGATTAGAACTTAGATCCCGAGTTTCAGGCAAATGCTGGAGGGGTGGTGAGGTGACGTGGGGACCAAACTGTGGGCCCACCATGCTAGGCTTGTGCTCTGCCACTCAAGTTCTATTTCTTGTCCGTAGTTCAGGACATTTTATTTTAAGGTTCTTAGTTTATTCATACTGACATATACATTGGTATATTTACCTTTATATTGCGTATTATCCTTGTCATCAGTACTCTGTGTGCTGAAATTCTGAATGACAGTCTCCCCAAATTCTTCTTTTAGCAAGAAGTGTTTAAAATGCTTAGCAGGGATAAATACAACTCCGAACGATGTTAACAGATATTAATCCAATGTGCTCGCACAATAAAGTCCAACGGAATTACATTGACCATATTACCCATGTCAGTCTGTTGCCAGGTATTTAGAGTTGAATTAAAGTATAAATAGGAAAATTAATTTGGCAATTCTCTTGTCGGTTGTGTAGCGTTAAAAGTGACTAGCACATATATTTTATTTATATATTAAAATGTTAAAAGAAGATTTTGGGTTTGATCTGGCAGATGAAAAATCAATTTCTCTAAGTTATAGCTTATAGCAAATGCCAAGGTATTACTACCAGGCTGTAACAGCTGTCGAGCTGCCAGATGACATACTTGGTTGTCGTCCAGAATTCGCTATTACCGTCAGTAGACGCTGCCCTCCTTTTACTCCTGATCGCTGGTTCTGATCAAGCTTTGCTGTGTGCCGTGTATGTTTTCACAACACAGTCTCCTCTGTTTGTGCTGTGCATTTGTGTTTAATGAAGCAAAACAATCCCCCAACATAAAATCTAACAAACGCTAAGTCATCCTTTCTGTTTAAAAGAGAGACAATCGGACTGATTGATGCTTTTTTTTTCCCTTTTTGGGTCACACCCAGTGATGCTCAGGGGTTACTCCTGGCTCTGCACTCAGGAGTCACTCCTGGCGGTGCTCCAGGGACCTTAAGAGGTGCTGGGAATCGAACCCAGGTGGGCCGCATGCAAGGCAAACACCCTCCCCACTGTGCTATCGCTCCAGCCCCATATTTGATGACTTTGACCAACCGTTACTGAATCTGATCACATAAAGAGCGAATAGTATTGTTTTCAGTGACAGCAGTTCACACAGGAGTGTGTTTAGACATTTTCTGAAACAGTTGGGTCTCTTGTGTCTTCTAGGGCTTACTAATAATAAAATCAGAGCATGTCTGTGTCAGTATAATAAGAAAAATAAATAAATAAAAAAAAATGAAAGACGAGTGTAGGACTGAGGAGCGAGTACCGGGCCTACAGTACTTGCCTTGATGTGACCCACCCAGGTTGGATCCCAGACATCACATGGTCCCTCCAGCATCTCTGGATGCAACACTCAAGCCTCTACGCATTGCAGGGGTAGACTGGGTTCTCCCTGGTCTCCCAGAGCAGGTGCCCCGCCATCTCCTGCCCTGCTTGGAAATGCAGACCCGTCTGGCAGATAGCAACAGGGAAGTCCCCTCCCTCCACCACCACCACCCCCCCCCCCCCCGCCTCCAATATTGCCCAGGAGGCCACCCTGGAGATAGAGGTAGAGACATGGATAAATCGTTCATCTTATATTTTCCTTGAAAAATTGTATAAGAAATTTTATTCATTGCAAAACTATTTTCCTCACCCCAGATGTCTAAAAGCAGTGGTCCCTTTTCTCAAAGTTTGTAATTGGTTACTTTCTACGGTCTCTTATAGTGAAACCATTGCCATGCCCTATCAAGACAAAAATATTCCTTTTTATCTTGCTAGCACAGTGTTTTTGAGAAATGCACCGTCATCTGTTTACTTACTTGTTTTACACTGTTCTTTGTGTGTATAGCTATTGCTATTGTTTTAATTTGAGCAAATAATAATATTCCCAGATGCTAAGTTTACCTTAATTATTGTGTATAATAACTATTAAATAGCATTAATAGTGTTATACAGTGTTTTTTAAACAGTGTCGCATTTATCTTTCTTATGAGCAAATAGTTTCAGATTTCATTTATGACTTGGATTTCTAAAAGACATCAGAAGAGAGCTTCTTTTTAAATGGTCTAGTATATATGCCTGTGGAAACCATTTATAAAGAAACCTTAACTTTAAACATTGTTTAATTTGCTTGAAAATTTATGTTAGGCGCCTATTAAAATGATAGGAAACTTTTTAGAATCAAAACCAGGGAGGTGTTTTACATTTCAAATCTGGCATTCTAATTAGTTTGCCCTGTCAAACTTTGATTGCCTTGTCATTTTAGCATAGGATTTTAAATAACGAAGTTTCTTTCAGCAATTGCCACTTAATGCTGTTTAATTTCCCCAGTGAGTGATTTTATCCATATTGATAATGTCAGAGAAGCAACTAAGGACTAATGAACATCAAACATATTTGACTCTTATCTAGTTGACACAGGATGACCATAATATTCTAATATTTTACTGCTTTACTACTTATTCTTTAGAATGAAAAATCTTATGCTCTAAAAATAATTTAAACAGACAGAAAAAATATGAGCAGCTGCATAGAGTAGGAAATAATAAAATGACAACACCACTGAACACAAAGTAGGGAGACCTAGAAAGATGTCCTTCTTACCTCTTACTATCCAGATCTGTCTGACTATAAGCTGGCATCTTTGCAAAACAGAGATTGTGCCATTTACTTCAAAATTTTGTTAAGCTACACAACTAAAATATTTACACCAGCACAGTTTTCTTAAATTGGTAGTATATTAAGAAATTATTTTTAATTAGTCATTACATTTTTAATTAGTTGTATGCTAATTAGCATACACAGAAACAGTAAAGCAAATTTACGTTATAAATTGTGTAAGTAAAATTCCCATTATGTTTGTTATTTGCCTAAAATTTCCCAACTTCAAGTAAATCCACATTTTATTTTGTATTTTATATTACAAAACAGTTTTATTGTGACGATAGTCAAGTGGATATTGCTGTAAAGTCCTCAAAGCATTACATAATTTTTATATACTTCTGTAAAAATGATCTAAATCTTATACAATCCTTCATTATTTATTTGAAAATTGCAAGCGTTATAGAACTTGAAGGAAGATATTATAACCACCTTAAAGGAATTTAGTCCCCAAATTACTTTCAAATATAATGACTGTATCAAGTCAGTAATAGTGATTGAGAAATCATGTACTGGGTATATAAAAAAGTAATATATAACAAGGTCTTTACTCACAAAGATTTACAGTGCTTCTTAGTAAATGCGTATGTACTAATAGAGAATGAGGGAACGGTTAATGATCAGAGTAAAGTATGAATTTGTCAAAATCTGTAATTAATTTCCATTGAGAAGCTATCTTTATTTCTGATGCCTTAAAATGGGTCATTTCCCTAGCATCTTTGACTATGACTCTGGGAGACCCGGGGCACCCCAGGAGCCCAGGATTCGTGAGATGCTCATAGAACCATCACTCCAGCCCCCGAGCAAGCGTCGTAGGGGGGCATTTGTCTCCAAACTGTCCGGATTTACACTCCGGGATGAAATAGATGTCGCACCAAAGCATTTGCATAACATCTTTGTTTGATGCTTCCTTTTTTTTTTTTTTTGGCTTTTCCCCCAATTATTTTATAAGAATTGTATCACTAAATAAATTTTATTGTTTTATTTGGTTTTTGTTTGAGCTCTGGGGTCACACCCAGCTGCGCTCAGGGCATCTTCCCAGTGGTACTCGGGGAAACCGTTGGTGTTGCGGAGGATCCAACTGGGGTCGGCCACCTGCAAGGCCAGCACCTTAATGCCTGCACGGCCCTGTCTCTCGGACCCTAGACTCCGTTGAGAATAAAAATATCCATCCTAGGGTTTGCAAGAGGGAAGAGCATTCTGTATGTGCCAATTAGTTCTTCTGTGGGGGCTTTGGAGCAGTCTGCGCTCTGCCGGTGGGCTGGGCACGGGTTCGGGATGCAAGAGTCCCAATTCAGGCCCACAACAGCTCGGTCGTCCAAGCGACCAGGGAGCACCCAAGCACCGAGTCGAAAAGAGCTTCAAGCGCTGGTGCTGTGGCTCCCCTCAAATAAATAAGTCAAAGCTCACTTTTAAATGTATTAAGGGGTGTGGGGCCACCCCCACAGTGCTCCGGAGCATTTTCAGGTGGGGCCGGGGATAAAAGTCGGCTCACCTGCATGCAGAGAATGCACCACTCGCCCCTTGGACTATCATCCCTGGCACACACGGTTTAGTAGGAAATAAAAAGAAAGCAATTCTCTGCTACAGAAATGAAATGTGTAAGGGTCGGAGGGCGACTTGTGTTACGTCTCAGTCTGGCTGAAACTTTTTAATTCCGTCTCCACTGCTGATTAAAAGCTTCAAATGGCCAGGCTGGAGCAATAGCATAGCAGATAGGGCATTTGCCTTGCGGGCAGCCAAACCGGTTCGATCCCCAGCATCTCTTATGGTCCCCTGAGCACCGCCAGGAGTAATTCCCGAGTGCAGAGCCAGGAGTAACCCCTGAGCATTGCTGGGTGAAAAAAGCTTCAAATGGCCAAGAAGTGGGTGTGGGAAGTCATTAGTGCTTCCTGGTTTCCAAGTTAGCTATCGCACCAATATCCTGAAAGCAGGATTCTCAGATTTTACCTTTTTTTGTTTTTTCCAAAGGTTCAGTCTTCAAAATGCTCATACACCACATTGACGGGAGGATGGGTGGGGAGCGCTAGTGCCTTTGCTGTATCCTCCACTCACGACTTTTTAAAACACTGACTCCCCAATGATCTGAATGGACAGTAGGCTTCATGAGTTAACGGATCTTTTGAAACTTGGTACCGTGAATGACCCCTGCAGCCACCTTTGGGCACTGGTGGAGGAATGGGTATTCGATCACTGTATAAATGAAACCCAAGCACAAAAATTTGTAAGTCTACGACTGTACCTCATGTTGTTTCACTAATAAAAATTTTTTAAAAAAACCAAAAAACTTCTTGTCCTGCCTCCGGCTATTCTGGACGTCTACGATATCTGTAATCTAGACGGTCCAGAGTCGCTTGAGAGGCCAAGACATTGACGCGTAATTCTCAATGGGAGGAGGGGGGCGAGGATGGCTATTTTCAACCCAGAGTGCCAACTTTTGTTCTTGCACTGAGCTCTTGTGAGTGGCTGTTGCTGCTGTCCAGTCTACAGAGCAGATGGAGTTTGCAGTTGTGTGTCACTTGTTTATTACATCCTCTTAAAATTAGTAGCTGTGTAGCCAGATGGGTCTGGGAGCACAGCTGTGAGTATAAGAAAATAAATGAAACCTGTCTGGTACCGCCATGCCCTTTTGAGATGCCAAGTGCTCCAACTGCAACAAAGGAAAATTCACTTTCATATGACATTATATTGATATATTAGGTTTTAAAAAATCAAATGTTACAAAAATAATTGACACTGGCTCTTTCGACCCCATGATTTTCATTAACATTTATTTTTTATGGTTTGGAGCTCTAAGTAAAGATGAAGGAAAAGCTATTCCTTTGTAATTTCAGCATCTCGAGGCAAAAATTCCATGTTGGGTTTAAACCTTATTCATGTTGATGCTTTTCAGCTTTATTAGGTGCCATGTGTGGAATTACTGATTTTTATTTTCCTGTTCATACAAAGGCAGATAAATTGCTTCTTCATAAAACAATGTGAGTAAGGTGCAGATAACACAGGTAAAATCAGAAAGGAATATTAGGGCTTTTAGGTACTGAACTGACAGTTTTCTGTTTTTCCAAATGTAAGTTAGTATTGAAAACACTCCACATAAATAGATTTGAGGCTTTTAGTTTTAGAAAAAGATATTAAAAATAAGTTCTTACCATTATATATTATAAAAGTAGTAAACTGGAGTGATGCTATGTAAGTATAATTTATTGAAAAGATCCACCTTAAACAACCAAATGGCATAACCAGGATCATCTGTGCTGGTTATGGTTATGATAAATTATATTGGATTATCCTTCATGAGCTGAGTTGTTCTGTTCCTCCAAATTGTAAATGATTGAATTTGAAATTTTGATAAAATATTACTTAATAAAGTATTTACAGACTGTTAGAATAGTTCCATTAGAAAATACATGTTTATGAGTATTTTAAGATATATAGCTGACTGTGATAATTAATAAACTTACTGATACAACAAATAAAGTTAAACCTATGTGAGTAGAGACTAGATTAGCACAAACTGTTCCTTACACCCCAAATTTTGATATCCAGATTATGGGTATATTTTGCAATGGTGGATATTTTGTTGTATTCTAGGAAATAGAAATTATAATAGAAATTGTTCAGCCACCTCTTCTGAAATTTTAATGGGTATTGTCAAGTGTGCGTTAAATTTCTTTTTAATGAGAAGTAAAAAAAACTTTAAGCATAAGGAATTTGATTATTGTGTTCAGATTATTTACTTGTTCTCCTGTAGAATTGTATGGTTACTTAATGTAATAAAACTGTTAATATTAACCAGTCTCTCATCAGCGGTTTCACAACTCCGTTTTTCCCTTCCTCAGGAGGTTGGTCTTGTCCTAGCAGCTATCTTGGCCCTCCTACTGGCTTTCTATGCTTTCTTCTACCTCAGACTCTCCACACGCGTCGCCCCTGATCTGGGCCCAGGAGAAGATTGACAGCGCTGCGACACACATGAAAGGAAAATCATTTTTTTAAAATCACTTCTCGGGACCAGAACTTTCTGAAGTATTGAGACTGAAGCATCTTGAATTCTTTCTACCGCTCTTTGCAAAAATCTCTTTTTAAATAGTTGTGCAGGATTGTTTCAAGCAAGAACCTTACCTGGCAATGTAAGGATTACATGGATCATCAGATACTTTGATAAGGTTGTGTTCTTGGACTTTTGAGTGGCATCCCATTTATAGCGCATTTAAATAAAATAAAAACCACATCCTGAATTCTTCCCATGGGTTAGCCAATCCATTTGTGTAACTCTCTCACAGATTACTAAATCTATTTTTGCTTCGTACACATGAGAAATAAAAGTATATGTTCTCATTTACAAAAACATACTCAGATCATTTTCAGAACCGAAGAAGGAATGAAAGTCATGAGAAATTTTTTCATTTTTCAAAGAAAGCTTGCTTGCTTTCCAGACGTATTTTATGTCATTAGAGATACTATCTGCATATACATCTACAGTAATCTTTTTCCTTCTTGCCACCTGTTCAGTGCACATGTGCTCCATCAGAAATGGCACCTGGATGACAGAAGCTCAAAGAGTCACATATGTCTCGAAAATAGAGTTCCTTTCCTCTTGGGCTGTCTAAACTGGAGAAAACAGAAAGTTCAGTTGATCTTGATTTTAATTAACTTATTACTCTGTTAATATAAACTTGGAATTCTGTTTTAATTATGTTGTTCAGGCTGCTTACAGTATCAGTTGGCTCCACTTGTTATGGAGATGTGGACAGTCTGTCACTTCACTGTGCAGTTTTTCTCATATCATAGTAATAGCCACAGCCCTAACCTAAAAATCACTTATGGGTTGGGTTGTCCCTTAAAATCGAACAATATGAAGTTGCTTAACAAAATTGAATTTTGTGTCTTGAGAGGTAATCCATTAGTGTTCTTTCATGGAAAACAATACAAGAAAATAGATGCCTCATCTTATTCACATGTCAAGTTTTCTATCTAGCTTTTTTTTTAAGGCATTGAATTTTTCAGAGCCTCATAATCAATTTGTTCATTTTTAACTTGGAATTGAGTTTTGAGATACTTTTTTAAAGCATAGGAACATATAGAAAATGCAAAAATGTGCCCACAGACTGCAGTAGCAGAATTGTTAGCTCTGGCTTTATATAAAGATGTATAGATAACAAGCACAGTGATTTTTAATATTTATATATTTTATCTATAGAAAGTAAATAAATGTTAACTTTGTTTCCATAGTACCCAAAGAAAGAAAGGTTTTTAATATATGCCCTAGATATTCCGTGGTGTTTTTGCAAATAGCTGCATATGAATGTGTAGCATTATGTTCTGTAAGAATGTATTCAAGAAGCACAATTTTTCCTCTTCAGTGTGAAAACAACCGAAAGTTCCAATAGCCTCACAGATAATTATGCCAAACATCTTGAGCAAAATTTAACCAGTGTTATTTACTGGATTCTTCGCTTTTGAAGTCACAAACTCAAGAAGCAGACCCAGAGTTCTTCTATACTCACCACAGGAGACCCATCCAAGTGGCATTTTTAGGAAAGGTTGCAGCATTTAATGCCATGTGGTATGTCTGTTCGAGAAGTGGGAGGCAAAGGAATATCCAAGCTGGCATTTTGGATATGATGGGCCTTTTACTTTCCTGAGTGACGTGCCACATGTCAAGAAATACTGCTTTCTCCCATTCCTATCACATGGACGTGAACGATTTTTCACTTAGTTATTTCCCCTTCCATATGGTGTTAAAAATAGTCATCTTAAATAAAGATTATTTCTAATTTCAATGGTAATTTGAATTGGAGGATATCTAATCATTGTTTGTCAGACACCTACCTAAATGGGATGTAAAAAAAATTCAGTATTTAAGATAAGTAATTAAAAATAATAAAATAGATAATTATACTGCTGGAAATATTTGAAAATTCATTATCATTATGTTCTACTGGTTAGTTGCTATTTAGGGAATCAGATGTTCCTAATAGTAAGAAATATTACTCTAAATAGGATGCAGTTCCAGGCAAGTTTAATTTCATAGTTTTATTAATATTGAGACTATGGTTAATCCCTTTTTCCTGACTGGTTGGCTTAAGCAGACTCCAAGAGTCACAAAGACTACAGGCTACGTTCTGATGTTGAGAAACAGCAGGTAGAGTGACAATACATGTTTACACAATCATGTTTTCATAAAGTACAAACTTTCAAACTCAACATTAACTGGGAATCAGCCAATCTTTGCTTGGGAATCACAGATTGAAACATGATTTGAATTTCTGATGATAGAAAGGTATTTCATAAGCTACCATTTGAACGGAGAGTGATGTTGGCACAAATGTGAGAGAGGCACAACACATAAATTTTAAGGATGGGTCTCTTTCCCTCTGAAAATTCACTGCTTAGAGTAGTTCAGAAGACAAAAAGAGAAATTTTATTAAGAGTTTTGGAATGTTACAGTCTAGTCAAGGTTAACAGAGATGCAAAACAGAGTTTGATTACTGCTTGTGGCAGAGATAACATGAAGCCCAGTGGAATGCTGTGAAAACTTGAAGAGCTGTTGGTTCTTGTTGCAACAAAATTAAAGAACATATATAAATTAATTGTAGAAGACTGTTACAAGATATAACCACATCTAAGATTTTTTAAAACAAAATAAAGCCTTTCTTAGTGTCAGTATAAGGGTTATTATTTAAAGGTGAGAAAATATTTGAAGTTTATTTTTATCTTTTCATAAAAATAGTTAAAAATACTCACCAACCAATGAGTCTCACATTTTAAGAGTATGTTCTTGTTAATTCCTATCATTTTAATTGTTTCATGATCTGCACACACTTAATGTGTGTTAAAAATTTAAGTTAATCTCTTCAGTCCTCTCAGAGTTTGAAATAGTTTATGCATGTCATGATGTCAAAAATTGTTTGCATTTAATAAACGTTTAAAATCATGGTATTGATCACCTCTTAGCATTAAGCATTAATGACCGTATGACCATTGGTTATCTGGGGACATATACATATTTCAGACTCACCCTCATTAAGTCCATGATAGCTAGCATTAAGGTTACTATAAAACAAAAACATTTGTTGTATATTAAATAAAATAGGCTATTGCATCACAGTATTACTAAAAACTATAGTCTGTGTTTCAAGTTTAACAGAATACTTACCCACCACTAAAATAAAGCTGAATTTTCATATTTATATAATGAAAGCACTATATCTTCTGGATTCTAAAATTATAATTCAGTAGAGCAAATCATTTTTTTATAAACTTCAGGAATAAACTTCTAAAAGCTGAAGCTCAAAGTTCAGTGTATTTGATGTGTATTGAAGGTGGCTGAGCCAGAAATTATATTCAATAAGTCTCCTTACCAACAATTAGGTTTCTTTACACTTACCCGAGGCTTCTCAGGAGGGAAATTCCCATTACTTCTCCCTCAGCAGCACTTCAAGCTTTTATTAGAATTGTTCCAAGGCAGCCTGGATAGAATGAGTTATATTTGCTAGATTTTTGTTAGATTAATATATCTAGAACCAAAGCACCCCACAAGAAAACAAAGCAAAACAAAAAGACAGTGAAAAACCTACAGCCGCTCATTCAGTTCCTACGGAAACCGCCTTCCTGTTTTATTTTATACAGGTGTTAGTTACACAATTAAGCAGAGAAGAAACTGAGAGTCATTTAAAGAACTCTACCAGTGTGGAAATAGCCATCGTGGGTCAATAAATTCACTTCGAACAATTGAACTGCTGCAGTGTTCGACACAGTACCTCCTTGTTAAACTTTTTTTTTTTAAGTCCCTAGCAACAGACTTGAGATCCTTATTTCAAGAAAAATAAGATACTTCACATGCCAGAAGATTTTCTGATGACAGTACCCCCTCCTATTCTTCATTTTGAAAAACAACAACCAAATTGGTGGGGAGGAAGCCAAAATTTGAGGTACCAATGCCTCTCGAACAGATGTCGCACCATTATTTTTGAGCTCGTTTGGATGAATAAACATGTTAAACTGTGAAGTATTACATTCTAGATTTTTTTCATTAAAAAAAGAGACAATCTGTTTACTGTCCTAATTGAGACAACAATCCTGGTGGTTGCCAGTTTTGGCAGTCATAACAATGAACTATAAATATTTGGACCAACCAAATAAATGGGGACTAGGAAGGCTATAGCGTGTGTAAAGTTGTGCTTTCACGGGCAGTCATCGTAATGTGGTTCCCCCCCACCCCTCCCCCTCTTCTACAGTTGTTTGTGTAAATAGGCTTCCTGGGAAGCCTCAGAGAAGTGTATTTCAATCTCTAATTTCTCTCTAGTTTATCATCGTTTTTGGTTTTCAACTATCCATCTGCTTTTAACAAATTGTTTCTGCAGTTGCTCTATTGAATATGGCAAGATCTTCATTCGCCTGCCTTCACTGTACATCCTAGATAATACGTGAAAACAACTCAGAAGGGTTTTTGGTGTTTATGAGACGAAAGGAAAGAGATTGTAAAATCTCTTCAAGTGCCACACTAGGCTTTGTTAAAGTCAAAAATAAATAATATGTGCACAGAAGTTCTTGTCATCTCAAGTAAGGTCTTGAACTCTTTGCCTTTCGTGGGGTGCTATACACAAAACAGAGGACAAAATGTTGCTAGACTAAAGGAAGTCCAAAGATTAAAAAAAATGTTAATAATTTCCAGACAGCAAGTGCCTTTCTTATTTGAGCATCCTCGTTTCTCTCTTCTGCCCGTCACCTTGTGCCCTCTCTGTCTCCATTATAAATTTCAGACCATCTATAACATTCCTCCCCAGAATTTATATGAACCTCACTTCTGCTTTAAATCACATTTAGTGCTATATAGTTACTGTTTTAACTGCCTCTGTTCTTTTACTTAGAATCTTCCTTGAGTTTCACCAGTTTCACCACTATCTCCCACCTGTTTCTCTTTCTCCTTTTCGTTTTTTTCTCCTTTCTCTGATTGGTGGTCCTCTTCAGTTCTCTGTTGGGAAAGGTTGTGACTCCCAGTGCTGCACTATACACAGTAGGATGTCGAACTTTGATCTTTGAAACTG